GTGAACCAATGGAAGGAAGACCTTTCTCTCTGTGTCTCTCTCACTGTCTACAACTCTACCTGTCAAAAAAAAAAAGAAAAAAAGAAAAAAAAACGCTTGAAAAGTATTTTATTTCTTTTTTGCAGGAGTCACGGAAAGCAGCGGTGTTTCCTTTGTGCTCAGCGTGTATGTTAGGTTTATTTCAACTTCTATTTCCTGACTTCCGTGATTCCAGAGGTGTTGATTTCATTTCTTGTATAGGATTTCACGCGGAGGATGCTTTAAAAGTGCTGTATTTTTAGAACCATTTTCAAGAAGAGCCAAGGCATTTAGGTATAAATAGATACTACAGACTTTGAGTGGCTAACTTCTGTCACATTTGCTGTGTCTAGCTTCACTCATTGATTAAATCCCTGAATTGAGTTCCTCTTATATTCTGGGTGCTCTTACTGGCTGAACAAGACAGATAAGGTCCTTTGCCCTCTTCTGGTAGTGTGCCGCACACTGTGAACCGACAAGTTGAGGAGAGGTGTTGGAGGGCGGTGCTGAGCAGCCAGGGAAGGTGTCTTTGAGGCGGTAAGGAGCTTCCAGTCCCCGAGCGGAGGAGAGGAGAACGTTCTGGAGATACCTGGTTCGTAGTTCTCGAAGAGCAGCTCCAGTGGGTTTGAGAGCAAGGCAGGGGCCGTCATGCCTGGAGAATAGTTAGGGTGGGGGAAGTGTCATGATTTCTGTAACGTGAAATGTGATAGGTCAGACATCTTTGTTTTCCATTTTCTTGATTCGACTATTCGGCAGACTTTGCCTTTCTGTATATTTTAGAATCAGCTTTCCAGTTTATTTTGGTTCACAGTTTGTATTGATGCATACGTCATTCTGGGAGAGTTGGCAGCACCTCACTGAATCCTTTCGTCTGAAGGTGGAATGCGTCTCTCCGCCTAGGTAGACGCCTCCTGCTTCCCAGCAGTCCTTGCTCGCTTTCCTCGTAGAGTTCCCGCAGCTCATCAGACTTATTCCCAGGCATTCTGTGTTTCTAAAACCCTGTTGTGTTCTCAGTTCCCGGTGTTGTCTGTTGCTGTTATATGGAGTCCAGCTGGTTTTTCTGCATCGAGCTTGTGTTGTGGTCTTGCGAGCTCATTCTTGGAGTGAGACTTGTTTCTCAGCGTTCTTGGGTATTCCATAATCATGTCATTGCAGATGTGGACCGTTTGCCTTCTCCTTTCCAGTGCTGAGGCTTTTTGTGTCGTGTTGTATTGCACTGGTTGGGATCTGCAGTGATGTTAAATGGAAGCACACGTGGTCAGAGAGCAGATGCTTGCTTGGAGGGAACGCGTTCAGTATTTCACCATAAAGTATGATGTTAGCTGTCATTGCTTTGTAGACACTAGCCTCCATGCCCTCCACATATCATAGATGGGCGTTGGATTTTACACTGCCTGCATTTGGTGACCACATATGATTTCCTCATGTATTTTGTTAATGTAATGATGGAAGACATTGATTATTTGTTCACTTTTAAAGATTTATTTGAGAGGTAGTTACAGAGAGAGGCCTTCTGTCTACTGTTTCACTCCCCAGGTGGCCACAATGGCTGGAGCTGTGCTGATCTGAAGCCAAAAGTTCCTCCAGGTCTCCCACATGGGTGCTGGGGCCCAACTACTTGGGCCATCTTCTACTGCTTTCCCAGGCCGCAGCAGAGAGCTGGATCGGAAGTGGAGCAGCTGGGACATGAACTGGCACCCATATGGGATGCTGACACTGCAGGCAGAGACTTAGCCCATTACGCCACAGCGCCAGCCCCGATTCTTTTAAATTAAGCTTTATTTTGAGATACTGATAGAACCATATGCAGTTATAAGAAGTAATACACAGGGTCCGGCGCCATGGCTCATTTGGTTAATCCTCCGCCTGCGGTGCCGGCATCCCATATGGGCGCCGATTCTAGTACCAGCTGCTCCTCTTCCAGTCCAGCTCTCTGCTGTGGCCCGGGAAGGCAGTGGAGGATGGCCCAAGTGCTTGGGCGGGCCCTGCACCCCACGGAGACCAGGAGGAAGTGCCTGGCTCCTGGCTTCGGATCGGTGCAGTGCCAGCCTAGTAGCCAATTGGGGGATGAACCAGCGGAAGGAAGACCTTTCTCTCTGTCTCTCTCTCTGTCAATAACTCTGTCTAATAAATAATAATAAAAGTAATACACAGAGGTCCCATATATTCTGCCGTTTCCCCCACTGGGCACTTCCTGCAAGGCTGTCACAGGGTCACTGCTGGTGTGTTGACATTGGTGTGGTCCAGCTGCAGGACACTTCCTTACCACAGGGCCCCTCCCCTTGCCCTCCTCAGCAGCATCAGCTTACCCCTCCTTGATCCTGGAACCACGCATGTGTTCTCCATTATTTTTTTCTCAAAGACGTATTTATTTGAAAGGCAGAGCAACCTAAAGAGAGTGAGACCGAGAAAGAGCTCTCCCATCCCCTGGTTCACTCCTCATGGCTGTCACCACTGGGCCAGGCTGAAGTCAGATTATAGCTCCATCCAGGTCTCTCACGTGGGCAGCAGGGGCCTGACTACGTGGGCCGTCACCCTGCTGTCTTCCCAGGCACAGTAGCAGGAAGCTGGATTGGAAGCAGAGCGGTGGGGACTCAGAGCCGGCACTGTGATACAGGATGTTGATGTCTCAGGCACCGGCCTAACCTGCACGCCACAAGACTGGCCCCCTGCTCTCCATCTCACAGCTTTGTCTTTTCTAAAGTGTTGCATGAATGGAATCTTGTAGCATGTAACTTCTGGAGGGGTCGGCGCTTTCCACCTGCCCCCACTACATGGATATACAGCAGATTATTGATTGACCAGTCAAAGATTGTCTGGGTTGTTTGCAGTTTGCTGCTGGTGCAAGTAAACCTGATACTAGCACTTGTGTATGGTACGGGTTTTTGTGTGAGCATCTGTCTTCCTTTCTCTGGGTGCATGACCCATGAGTGTAGTTGCTGGGTTGTCGCTCCCCCTCTTCGTGGAGGAACGACACAGGACCCTGCGCTGTTCTTTCGTCTGCTCGGCCCTCCCCGGGTTTGCTGCTGGTTCTTCCCGGGTTGGCTACCGACCCTTCCACCTCCGTGGAAGGGCGGTTCCCCCTGCCGCTTTTCCCCACTTCCACGGGGGAGCGGCACACCGCCGGCCGGCTCTCTCGGGGGCTGCACAGGTGTTCCCCTTAGATGTTCCTGGTGCATGTTGTCTCTCTCCTCCTTTATAGTCCTCTTCCACCAATCCCAACTCTGCTACCCACACGCCGAGTACGCTGCTCTCCTCCAATCAGGAGCAGGTCCTACAGTTTATTGGTTGAACTGGAGGCAGCTGTGTAGAAGCTGTTTCTCCCTTCTCATCGCCATATTGTGGGAGAGCAGATGCATAGAATAAGTCTTAATTCCAGTAACAGTCTAGTCCGAGTTGCTCCAAGTTGCTCCCCACACTGGGTCACACAAGAGCTGTGGGTTTGGATTTTTTGTGAGTCACCAAATTGTCTTCCAGAATGGCTGCACCATTTACCGTTCCCATTAGGAACTTAGGCCTGACAGTTTTTCTGTGTCCTTGGCTAGCACTTGGTGTTACCACTGTTATTGATTTATTTTGAAGGGCTGGGAGAGAGACAGCTTCCATCTGCTGGTTCACTTTCCAAGTGCAGTCGACAGCCGAGGCGGGGCCAGGCTGGGGCCAGGCACTGGGAACTCATTCAGCCTTCAGCATGAGCAGTAGGGACCCGTGTACCTAGGGCACCAGCAGGGTTTGCATCAGCAGGAAGCTGGAATCAGACGCAGAGTCAGAACGTGAACCCAGGCGCTCTAATATGGGATGTGGGTAGACAAACAGTGTTATTATTTTTTTAAGATTTTATTTATTTGAGAGGTAGAGTTACAGACAGTGAGAGCGAGAGACAGAGAGAAAAGTCTTCCATCCATTGGTTTATTCTCCAAATGGCTGCAACGGCCGGAGCTGCGCTGATCTGAAGCCTGGAGCAAGGTGCTTCTGCCTGGTCCCCCACGAGGGTGCAGGGGCCCAAGCACTTGGGCCATCTTCCACTGCCTTCTCAGGCCACAGCAGAGAGCTAGATTAGAAGAGGAGCAGCTGGGACTAGAACCGGCGCCCATATGGGATGCTGGCACCACAGGCAGAAGATTAACCTGCGCCATGGCACCAGACATATTTAAGATTTTATTTATTTGAAAGAGTTAAGAGAGAGAGAGAGGTCTTCCATCCACTGTTTCACTCCCTAGATGGCCGCAATGGCCAGATCTGCACCATTCTGAAGCCAGGAGCCAGGAGCTTCTTCGAGGTCTCTCACATGGGTGCAGGGCCCAAGGACTTGGGCCATCTTCCATTGCTTTCCCAGGCCACAGCAGAGAGCTGATTTGGAAGAGGAGCGGCCAGGACTAGAACCGGCACCCACATGGAATGCCTGCGCTGCAGGAAGAGGATTAACCTAGTGCGCCACGGTGCTGGCCCCCTAACCTTGCTTATTGATATGTGTGCTCTTGGGGCTTGTGCTGTGGTGTAGTGGGTAAAGCCGCTGTTTGCAGTGCTGGCATCCCATACAGGCACCGGTTCAAGTCCCGGCTGCTCCATTTCCAATCCAGCTCTCTGCTGTGGCCTGGGAAAGCAATAGAAGATGGCCCAAGTCCTTGGGCCCCTGCTCCCGTATGGGAAACCCAGAAGAAGCTCTTGGCTCCTGGCTTCGGATCTGTTGCGGCCATTTGGAGAGTGAACCAGCAGATGGAAGATCTCTCTCTGCCTCTGCCTCTCTGTAACTCTGCCTTTCAAATAAATAAATAAATAAAGTCTGTCTTTAAAAAAAGCCCGCATGCTCCTGCTGGAAGCAGTTGTACCGGTTGTTTTTGTGCTCTATCACCTCAGTTAAGGATGTGACAGAGTGTGTATAGTTAAGCAGTGTTTGACACAGAGCCTGCCGTCGTATCTACTGTCTGAATTTAATGGAAAATCCGTCCCTCGGTGCACTGAATCGTTGCCTCTCTTCACAGTGCCCCGGCATCGGCAGCATGGCTACTGACTGGCTGGGCAGCATCGTGTCCATCAGCTGTGGCGAGAGCCTGGGTGTCTACCAGGGCAGAGTGTCCGCCGTGGATCAGGTCAGCCAGACGATTTCTCTCACGCGGCCTTTCCACAACGGGGTGAAGTGTCTTGTGCCCGAAGTCACCTTCAGGTGAGTGTCCCGACAGATCTCCCCTGCCTGGCCTGGTGTTCTGTTGAGTGGGAGGGGGTCTGGCTGCCAGAACCCCCTTCCCAGGGCCTTGTCAGGCGGGAGCGCCTGCGGTGTTGGGTCTTGACCTCAGCTGCCATCTGGTTCAGCTGCGACTCTGGCTTTCAGCTAACGATTAGGGGTTTGCGGAACTTTACTTAACTCTGTCAGTGTGCAGTAGTATTTAAATGGGTCAAATTCAGAGCAACTTTTTTTTTTCGTTTATGGTTTCTCAATTTTGTATTTGGGATCTTTGTTAGCTTTCTCCCCGTGTACATGTGCCTCTGTGTGTAGATTTGTGTCATGGTGTATCCCCAGTGCGTATTGTAACCTTGGCTGAAGCCCCCAGGGATGAGCAGGGCCTTTTCTCAGTATTTGCTGGTGAATCTCGACTGGACTTGTGCCTTCACTCGCCTGTGTTCACCGGTTTGGTGCAGGCAGGTCCTGTTTTTTTTCTTTTTTCTTTTTTTTTTTTTTAAAGATTTTGTTTATTTGAGAGGTAGAGTTACAGACAGAAGGAGAAACAGAGAGGTCTTCTTCCGTTGGTTCACTCCCCAGATGGCTGCAACAGCCGGAGCTGCACTGATCCAAAGCCAGGAGCCAGGTGCTCCTCCCTGGTCTCCCATGCAGGTGCAGGGTCCCAAGCACTTGGGCCACCCTCCACTGCCTTCCCAGGCCACAGCAGAGAGCTGGACTAGAAGAGGAGCAACCGGGACTAGAACCGGCACCTATATAGGATGCCGGTGCCGCAGGCGGAGGATTAGCCTACTGCACATGGTGTCTGCCCCAGATCCTGTTCTTACGTACCTGAAAAGGAGAGGGAGGCTGTGGGGTAGGAGCTTTCTTGATTTGCTGAGCACTCCCCTTCCCCATACCTGCCACACATAACCTCTCCCGTGGGTACACCCACTCCCACTGTGTGCAGGGCTGACCTTACATGGCTCTGCGTCTTCAGCTCTGGCCTTTCTCCTGGCTCCTTTCTCCTGCATTCTCATTCCCGGGCTGCTCCCATGGTAACACTCTCTTTGCCCTGACCTGGCTTTGGCTGTCAGGTTTTGCCTGTCTATCCCCTTCCCTTTTTACCCACAGTCCTTTGCAGAGCAGAGCAGTCTGCCTTCGCTCTCCAGCGCCTCCTGCCCTTGGCAGCTGCTAGCTGACTTTATCATCTTAGGGAGTAGCTGCTGTCAGGGTTGCAGCGCCCTAACCGCCCGCTTTAGTCTCGGTTCTAATCCTGTCTGAACGTACTTTTCCTTTTTAAAAAGGAGAGATAGATTCAATTATGAAAGGCAGACATTTAGATGGATCTCCCACCTGCTGGCTCATTAATCTAAATGCTCTCAATAGCTGGGGCTGTGTTGGGTGGAAGCCAAGACCAGGAACTCAGTCTGGGTCTCCCACATGAGCGGCAAGGACCTGCGTACATGAGCCATCACCTGCTGTCCCCTAAGGTGCACGTTAGCAGGAAGCTGGAATGGAGAATGGAGACGGCGCTCCAGTATGGCACCGCTGCATCACAAACAGTGTCTTTTTTTTTAAAAAAAGATTTGTTTTATTTGAAAGAGTTACACGGAGAGAGGAGAGGCAGAGAAAGAGAGGTCTTCCATCCATTGGTTCACTATCCAATTGGCCACAATGGCTGGAGGTGCGCCGATCCGAAGCCAGGAGCCAGGAGCTTCTTCAGGGTCTCCCACGTGGGTGCAGGGGCCCAAAGACTTGGGCCAAGTTCCACTACTTTCCCAGGCCATAGGAGAGAGCTGGATTGGAAGTGGAGCAGCTGGGTCTTGAACTGGCGCCCATATGGGATGCTGGTTCTTCAGGCCAGGGCGTTAACCTGCTGCGCCACAGTGCCAGCTCCAGCAGGCAGTGTCTTAAGCACTGTGCCAAGCGCCTGCCTCCTTAACTCTGAAGCACCCTCTCTGCAGTCTGTGCCATCACGTTGGGTTTTCTTTCCCTGTATTCTTTGTGTTCCTCTGTTCCTTTACATAGAGGCTTTTTATTTAAAGCTCTTTTTCTTCTTCTTTTTTTTTTTTAAGATTTATTTACTCATTTGAAACTCAGAGCACTCATCTGTTGGTCACTTCCCAGGTGGCCACAATGATCAGTGCTGGGCCAGGCTGGAGCCAGGCGCTCCATACGAGTCTCCATGTGGGTAGCAGGGGCTCAGGCACTTGGGCCATCCTCTGCTGCTTTCCCAGGTGCACTAGCAGAGAGCTGGATTGGAGCGGAGCAGCTGGGACGTGAACTAGCACCCACTTGGGAGGCTAGCGCTGTGGGCGGTGGCTTTACCCACTATGCCATAACACCAGCCCCAGACCACCTGTTAAGATTGGTGACTTCCTGTTCCGTCTTGGGTTCCTTCCTCTGTCTGTGTTCCTGGACAGTCTTGTAGGTGCCTCCTGTGTGTCAGCAAGGGCTCAGCACAGCCCCTGTCGGAGCTCGAGACGCTCTGTCCCTGGTCACTTCCACCTGGAAATACGCAGGGTAGCTGGACTTCAGTTTTCTGAGCTGAACTCATCATGCTTAACTGTAGATTTCTCCTTCCAAAGGTCTGCCTTTCACCCAAGTTAGAATTTCGGAGTCATAGTAGACTCGTCCTCTTTAATCCTCACGTTTAGGTGGTTGCTGAATCCTGTGAAAATGCCGTGTTGCCCATTCTCCCGTCTCCTTGTCGCTCACCTGGTTCATCTCCTCTTTCTTGCTTGGTCTCCTTAGTGCCTCTGCCTCTAGTTTCTCTGTCTCACTATAGCCGGTGGGAGGAGAAACCCAGCGAGATCCTGTCTGGTCCCTGGTTGTCCCTGCAGCCTCGTTCCTGAGAGCCATGCGTCCTCCCTTTGAGTGACACGGTCACGGTCACAGTTCCTCCCATGGCCATGTTTGCAGTCTCTGCCTGAGAAACCTTTCTCCCCCGTTGTCTGCTTGGCCAGCTCCATCCCCTCACCCCCGCCCAGACTGAGCTCACGTGTTGCCTCCACCTCCCCAGCTGACTTCAGTGTTTTACTTCTGGTTCTGTGGTCCCTGAGCACACTCTGCCATAGCCCGTTCTGCTTTTGATTGATGTGTTGAGTCTTCTCCCCTGACCCGACTGTGAGCAAGCGCCTTGTGGGTGCACAGTGGTTTTCATCTCAGTAGCCTGTTCCTAGCCCAGGGCTCACCATGTAGCCGTGAGTGCTCTCTGTATGCCTGTTGGTGAGCAAGGGAATGAATGTTACTGGGACAAGCCAGTGTCTCTCTCTCTCTCTCTCTTTTTTTTTTTTTAAGATTTATTTAAAGGCAGATTTACAGAGAGGCCAAGGCAGAAACAGAAATCTTCCATCCACTGGTTCACTCCCCAAATGGCTGCAGCAAATGGCTGGAGCTGGGCTGATCCGAAGCCAGGAGCTTCTTCAGGTCTCCCACGTGGGAGCAGGGGCCCAAGCACTTGGGCTATCTTCTATTGCTTTCCCAGGCCACAGCAGAGAGCTGGATCAGAAGAGGAGCAGCCAGGACTCGAAACGGCGCCCATATGGGATGCTGGCGCTGCAGGTGGCAGCTTTACCCGCTGTGCCACAGTGCCGGCTCTGCCAGTGTCTCTTGAGAGACCAGTGCCGTGCCGGCTGAGTGTTCCTAGCTGAGCCCTGTCTCCTCTCCTAGTGCGTCAGAACCCGCTGCACAGCAGTCCTGACCAGTGGGGCCTTTTGTTTCTTACCACGATTAGAATTCTGAGACTTGGATCCTCTTGTTTATTTCAGGGCAGGTGACATTACAGAATTAAAAATTCTGGAGATACCAGGTCTTGGAGAGAGCCAGAATTCTGGAGACCTTCATCAGCCAGAATTAGGTCCCTCTGGTGTGGGGTACCAAGTGGGCATCAACCAGAACGGCACAGGCAAGCTGGTCAAGAAGCCGACCTCTTCCAGCAGTGCCCCCCAGACCATCCCCAGAAGGACAGACATGAGGAGCCAGGACGCCACTGTCTCGCCCCAGCAGCACTGCTCCAGGAGCTACGTGGACAGGCACGTGGAATCCCTGAGCCAGTCCAAGAGTTTCCGGCGCCGGCACAACTCCTGTAAGTAGGGCCGAGTTGCTCTTTCTCCTTAATCAGACGCTCTAGGGCTCTGCTCTCCCTGCTGCTCTCTGACAGGGCCTTTATTGTTCTACTGGAAAGGGAGCTGGCAGAGCCTCACAGAACACAGCGTGGTTCTCTCACTGCAGATGTTACGGGGAAGGAAATAAGCTGTTCAAGACAAGCGCGAGCTTCCCGGCCCTGCCCCCGCGTCACCTCCCTCCTCGGGAGCTGTCAGATGTGCCCAGAGTCCACCGAGACTTGGCCGTGGTGGGCCAGGTCTGAGCTGAAGTGCACGCGGGCTGTTGAGATTCTGGAGTGGATTGGCTGGGTCCTCAGAGGAGAGGAGGCGCCTGGCCCCACATCTCTGTGATCCCTTGTCTGACACACTGACAATTTAAAATGTCCTGGGCTAGGCATTTGGCCCATCACTGAAGACGCTGCTTGGGACATCTGCATCCCATGTCCCAGTGCTTGGGTGTGACCCCCAGCTCTGTTCCTGATTCAGCTTCCCACTGATTGCACCTTGGGAGGCAGCAGGTGATGTCTCAACTACTTGTGTCTTTACATTTATGTGGGAGACTTGGATTAAAAAAAAATTGTTTGAAAGGCAGAGGGGGCCGGCATTGTGGCATAATGGGTTAAACTGCTACTTGAAACTCCAGCATCCCATAAGGGTGGAGTTGGAGTCCTGGCTGCTCCACTTCTGACCCAGCTCCCTGCGAATGTGCTGGGAGGGAGTGGAGGACGGCCCGAGTGCTTTGGCCCCTCCACCATGTGAAGACCCAGATGAAGCACCTGGTTACTCATTTCAGCCTGGTTCAGCCCCAGTGGTTGTGGCCATTCGGGGAGTGAACCAGTGGATGGAAGGTTTCTGTCTCTGCTGCTTCTCTTCTGTAACTATGCCTTTCAAGTAAATAAAATAAATCCTTTTTTTTTTTTTTTTTGACAGGTAGAGTTACAGACAGTGAGAGAGAGAGAGACAGAGAGAAAGGTCTTCCTTCCGTTGGTTCATCTGCCAAATGGCTGCTACAGCCAGAACTGCACTGATCCGAAGCCAGGAGCCAGGTGCTTCTTCCCGGTCTTCCATGCGCATGCAGGGCCCAAGCACTTGGGCCATCCTCCACTGTACTCCCGGGCCACAGCAGAGAGCTGGACTGGAAGAGGAGCAGCTGGGACTAGAACCGGCGCCCATATTGGATGTTGGCGCCACAAGCGGAGGATTAACCAAGTGAGCCACAGCGCTGGCCAATAAAATAAATCTTAAAAAAATGAAAGCCAGAGAGAGAGAGGGAGAGACCAGTCTTTTATTTGCTGGGTCACTCCCCAAATGGCCACAACAGCCAGGTCTGGGCCAGGATAATCCCAGAAGCCAAGAATTCCATCCAGGTCTTAACACATACCTGGAAGGGGCCCAAGCATGTGAGCCATCTGCTTCTGCCTTCCCAAGTACATTAGCAGGGAGCTGGAGCGGAAGCAGAACAACTGGTATTTGTACCAGCCCTCTGATAGGGGATGGTGGCATTACAAGCAGGAACATAGCAACACTGCCACAGTGCCACCCCCAGAGACCTGAGTTGAGTTCCTGTCTCTCACTTTTAGCCTGGCCCAGCCCAGGTTATTGTGAACATTTGGGGAATGAACCAGTAAATGGGTGATCTGTTTGTCTTTCTCTCTCTGCCTTTTAAATAAATAAATAAATTTTTTTTTAAAAAGAGACCAGTGGGGCTGGCGCTGTGGCATAGTGGGTAAAGCCAACGTCTGCAGGGCCAGCATCCCATATGGGCGCCTGTTCATGTCCCGGCTGCTCCACTTCTCATCCAGCTCTCTGCTGTGGCCTGGGAAAGTAGTAAAAGACGGCCCAAGTCCTTGGGCCCCTGCACCTGCGAGGGAGACCCGGAAGAAGCTCCTGGCTCCTGGCTTTGGATTGACACAGCTCCGGCCGTTGTGATCAATTGGGGAATGACCCAGCAGATGGAAGACCTCTCTCTCACTCTCTCTGCCTCTCCTGTCTTCATACAACTCTGCCTTTCAAGTAAATAAATAAATAAATATTAAAAAGGGGAGGGGGAGGGTGACCAGCGTTGTGGCATAGCAGCGTTGTGGCATAGCAGGTTAAGCCTCCACCTGCAGATCGGGCATCCCAGTTCGAGACCTGGCTGTTCCACTTCCCACCATCTCCCTGCTAATGTGCTTGGGAAAGCAGCGAAAGGTCACCTAAGTGCTTGGGCCCCTGCACCCATGTGGGACACCCAGAAGAAGCTCTGGACTCCTGGCTTCAGCCTGGCCCAGCCCCAGATGTTGCAGCTATCTGGGGAGTGAACCAGCAGATGGAAGATTGTTCTCCCTCCCCCTCCCCCTCCCCCCTTCTCCCCTCTAATGCTGCCTTTCAAATAATTTTTTTTTTTAGAAGTAAGTTAATATTTCCTAACGTCCCATCCCTACTGGCACAGGAAGGAGAATGGGCACTGATGCCAAGTTTTAGCAGATCATTGAATGCCGTTGGCTGATTATAGAATTTTTTTTAAAGATCTATTTATTTATTTGAAAGGCAGAGTTGGAGGCAGAAGCAGAGAGAGGGAGGTCCTCCTTCTGATGGTTCACTCCCCAAATGGCTGCAACGGCTGGAGCTGAACTGATCTGAAGTCAGGAGCCTCCTCCAGGTCCCCCACGTGGGTGCAGGGGCCCAAGCACCTGGGCCATCTTCCACTGCCTTCCCAGGCCACAGCAGAGAGCAGGATCAGAAGAGGAGCAGCCAGGACTCAAACAGGCACTCGTATGGCATGCTGGCACTGCAGGCGGCAGCTTTACCCGCTACGCCACAACACAGGCTCCTGATTATAGAATGTTGAATCACTAGAACTTGCTGCATTCTTTAACAAAATCACTAGAGTAATAATATAGTGAATCAAATAGATTGATCTGTTATGCTCCTTAATGTGAATTAATGAATATTTCTGTTAAAAATTACTTCTAAATGACATACTGTTCCAGTTTTTGGAATCTCTGGGTTTATGGTCAGAGATGGTGACAGAATATATTAAGAATTCTGGGGCCGGTGCTGTGGCTCACTTGGTTAATCTTCCCCCTGCGGCGCTGGCATCCCATATGGGCGCCAGGTTCTAGTCCCGGTTGCTCCTTTTCCAGTCCAGCTCTCTGCTGTGGCTTGGGAGTGCAGTGGAGGATGGCCCAAGTGCTTGGGCCCTGCACCCGCATGGGAGACCAGGAGGAAGCACCTGGCTCCTGGCTTCAGATCTGCACAGGGCCGACTGTGGTGGCCATTTGGGGAGTGAACCAACGAAAGGAAGACCTTTCTGTCTCTCTCTCTCACTGTCTGTAACTCTACCTGTCAAATAAAAAAAATTCTAAGTGAATATTCCTTTTTTTTTTTTTTTAATTTTATTTATTTGAGAGGTAGAGTTACAGACAATGAGAAGGAGAGACAGAGAGAAAGGTCTTCCATCCGCTGGTTCACTCCCCAAATGGCCACAATGGCTGGAGCTGCGCCAATCTGAAGCCAGGAGCCAGGAGCTTCTCTGGGTCTCCCACGCGGGTGCAGGGGCCCAAGCACTTGGGCCATCTTCTGCTGCTTTCCCAGGCCACAGCAGAGAGCTGGATCTGAAGAGGAGCAGCTGGGACTGACTTTTGACGTTGTCCTTTGTCACCTGGCAGTGTGTGTCAGGTCTGTCCTCTGTGAAGTTGCTGTCCCCCACTTTTGTGCTGTGCCCTTTGTCACCTGGCAGTGTGTGTCAGCTCTGTCCTCTGTGAAGTTGCTGTCCCCCACTTTTGTGCTGTGCCCTTTGTCACCTGGCAGTGTGTGTCAGCTCTGTCCTCTGTGAAGTTGCTGTCCCCCACTTTTGTGCTGTGCCCTTTGGGAGGAGGAGCTCTGCAGGCCACACCCAGGGAGCAGGAGGCTGCGCCATCTCCTGAGGGCACAGGAGCCACCTGGGGCCCATGGACTCCTGCACCAGAGGTGTGTGTCTTCCCCTGTTTATGACAGTAATGGATTCAGGGGCTCTTCATGCCTGCCTTTGGTTGGATGCTACGCTACTTTGGTGCTCAGATTGTTTCGGCTTTGGCCATGAGAAGTTCTCCATCATGGTGGGATTTTCCCTGCTTCCTTCCCTTCTTTCCTTGCACTGCCAAGATGCTTGAGGCGTGTCCTACTTCCTGCCCCAGCTTTTAGTTAGCCGTCTCTCCACCAAGCCCTGTTCTCTTTTATTGAAGGGGTGGGCGTCTGGTGCAGCAGTTAAGACACAGCTTGGGGATGCCTGCATGGGATGGGTGCGTGCTTAGGACCGAGTCCCTGCTCCTGTTTTCCTCTCCAGCTTCCTGTACGTGTGCACCCCGGGAGGTGGCAGGTGGTGACTCTGGTGCTCTGGTTCCTCCAGCAATGGGGAAGGCCTGTGTTGAATTCTGGGTTCATAGCTTTGGCCTGTCCCAGCCCAGCTGTTGCAGGCATTTAGGGACTGAACCATTGGATGGAAGATCTGTCTGTCTTCCTGCCTGTTTCTGCCTTTCAAATAGATAAAAATCAAAAAAAAATAGTAATATTAGAAACCAGCATGTGGCCACTAGGTATGCTTGTTCCCGGGAGTCACCTGTGCGGGTGACAGCAGAGAAATGTAAGTCCGTATACTTAACCAGTGTGTAGACACATGTCCACCAGTACTTATGTCATCGTCTGTCTCAGCCCACTTTGTTGCGTAACAGAATACCTGAGGCTGAGCCCTTTATACAAGAGACTCACTTAGCTCACAGTTCTGAAGGCTCGAGTCCAACATCAGGTGGCCCCATCTCCTCAGCCTCTGCTGCAGGCTGCCAGCTGTGCCACAGCACGGCAGAGGGGCGGGAAGGGAGACGCGGTATGCGGAGGAGAGTCCACAGCGCATCGGGTGGCCTTGTGTTCCAGCAAGCTGTGCTCCCCTGAGAACTAACTCACGCAGCAGGACCAGCATTAACCCCCTCGAGGACTAAAGCCTCATGACTTAATTATCTTAAGC